GCCCTTCAATGGATGATTGGATAAAGAAGAGGTGGTCACATATACTATGGAATACTACTCAGCCATAAAAAATGATTAAATATTGCCATTTGCCACGACATGGATGGAGCTTGAGAGTTCCATGCTAAATTTACACAATTTTTATTTTTCAGCTATCCCTCAATAAAATATAAAGAAAGACTAATTTCTGAAGTAAATTTCTTATGACCCCAAGATTAGATCAAACTTCTTAAACTACTTAAATAAAGACAAACATCCTTGGGTATTTTCTCCCTTTTCCATTCTTCCCCCTTTTTATTTCACCAATTTCATGCTTATGGAATGTGTGGATGCAGGGAAATGGAAACACGTCTTACAACTCAGACTAAAGCACAGTGCATTTGACTACAGTGGATTCAGTCATGTGCTGATGGCTTCATGATTCAGCTGAAACTTCAAACCTGAAGGTTTTTTTAATCAGATTTACTTACCAAGTGTCCTGCTGTTCTCATATAGAACAAGTTTTATTTATTAACTAGTGTCCTGGTGCATGAATTCGTGCACACTGAAAGGAAATTCATTAGAAGAAATATTTTTAAATCACTATTCGCCCTTTCTCTATAATAGAAGTGTCAACCAAATTCATGATCAACAACAACAGATGGAAACACACATGTGCAGTTGGCGCCAGCAAGAGCTTTATATGTATCGCACATGCAGGAGTCAACTTAGCCTTTTATAGATATAGATAAACTTGCTTAATTAGACCTGCTTTCTGTTTAGCTAAACTTTTTCCAGCCCAGTGAAGCACCCCAACTTCTCTTTCAGGTAATTATCAGCAACACAGCAGTAAATATCAACACGAAGCAGATTATTATTATAGATCACAGGGAGAACAAAGGGTAAGATATTTAACTGTGTTTGACTATACTCTGTGCAGTGAGAAAACCTGAAGTGATTTTCAAGGTTCACCATTTCTTACTTCTTTTCAGTCAGGTCAAGTTTCTAAACTTTCTAAATCTCCATTTTCTGGCTGATGAAAAGAAAATAGGATTCTACCAAGTCTCCTATCTACCTACTCGAGGACTTCTGTGAGGATCAAATGAAATGAAGCATGGGAAAATGCTTCACAAACATTTGGTTAAATTGTAAAATGTTTGCACCTGGCTGTAAAGCAAATCGGGTTCCTGGGCTAAAGAAACTGCAAGGAGGCTAATCGCTAGGGAGAGGAAGCTGGGTGTAGCTATGTGATGTCATTACCTGGCATCCATGCAACTGTTTCTGGGCTGGGCTGGGCTGTGGGGCACATTTTGCACCATGGGTTCTTGGCAGTGTTGGCTGCAATTTGGTGAGGTGTCGCTCCAGGCTGGTGGCGGGGCCTGTGTCCCACTTGGAAGAAGACGAGTGTTGGTTTGTCAGCGTCAGGTCCATGGTGCCATTTATTTTTAAACTAGAGGCCTAGTGCACAAAATTCATGCACAGGAACGGTCCTTACACCTGGCCAGCGATCAGGGCCGATCGGATCCTTCTGGCTGCTGGCCAGGGCCTTCCTTCATTCTGCACCACCCTCTAGTGGTCAGTGCACATCATAGCGAGCAACCAAACTCCTGGTTTCCTGGTCGAACTCCTGAGGGATCTTGTCTCTTCTGAAGTCAACTTGACCCCAGGTAACATGAACAAAGTAAATTTGTGTTGGATTTCTATCATTTAAAACCAAAAATAGTACTTTTATTGCTTATTATACTTTCTCAGAAATAAAAATAGACCTTGGCCAATGTGACTTGCCAGGATGTATTTGAAACATCAGTGACCAGAGGTCACTGTATCAGAATGCAACAATTCCACATGCTTACTTACAGAATTCTCCCCAAACTGGAAGAGAGGCAGCAGTTCTAAGGCCACTGCACTCAACATCAATACTAAAGAATCATGAAGGATGTGATGATTGAAATTATTTTCTAACCCCAAGATGCTTCTAGTCTCCTTTCAAGGAAAAACCCCTCCGTCTGGTCCCAGGCTGGCTGGGTCACCTCAAAATATGTTGCTTTCATTCTGGAGTGGCTTCCTACCTCTGCTTATTTAAGGAGGTTCAGGATACAGATAACTCAAAATACATTTAGTTATGATAAAAAAGCTCTGTAGGTAGGTAATTGAGTTCAACATGCTTTTCTTGAACAGTCTGTGGGGAGAGAATGGAAACAGAAAAACACTTTGGCAGGAATAGGAAGAGACTCTGAAGTCAGTGCAGGAGGCACCATCCTTGGGGTGAGGGTCACACAAGGTGACCTGAGGACTGTCAGGGTGACTGTAGGGCTTGATCTCAGAGATGGACAGGTTAACAGGCAACTGGAACTCTGGGCAAAGATCGGCACCCATCTCAGAGGAGAGAAAACCAAGCACAATGACATACCATCAGGAGTCAGTGCAGGAGCCCTGTAAAAGAGAGTGATCAGCACTCGGCATTCTGGGGGGTACGCCCCTTTCCACTCCTCTTGGGGTCCCTGAACCATCAGTTAAAGATGAGGTCTGGGAAATATCACCATCACCTCCCGCAATATCTGTGCAAAGGTGAAATCAGCTAAAGAGGACAAGCACTTCAGCTCCACGCAGATGTGTGAAAGGTAAGTGAGCAGATGTTATCCTTCTGTGGAATATGAAGAAAGACCTCACTCTTTTTAGTAAATTATGATAACTCACCTTCCTTCCACCACTAGTAGTCACTTATAAAGGTCCATAGGCGGGAAGTGGCGCCAAGTGGGCATCACCCCTGTGCCTACCCCCCAAGACATGGCTCTGGTTCCACATTTCACAGAAAGATCCACCAAAGTTAAACCCTGATTCTGGATAACAAGCCAGAGCTTCCTTCAGAATCTGGGCGAGCTTCTCCCCTAATCCTTGTTCCCATGACAGGAAATAAGCCATGAACCATGACCTTTGTGACTCACCTCATGGCCCCCCACCCCGTCTTTTTCCTATCCTCACACCACCACCCCAATTAAATCAGAGCAGAGACAGTACTTGAGGCAGAGGCCCATCAGATCCTACAAAAAGACTTTACACAGAGAAAGGTCACATTTAACAGCCAGCCCTCTCCTACCCACAGGAAATGAAATAAACAACTTAATTGGAAATCTATTTCCTCCCTACCCTAGGCCACAAGGCCTTACCCCCTAAGCTACAATCCCCCAAATGAGTGGACCTGTCACTAGAAGGAAGGGAAGCCAACGCCCTGATCTTAAAGAAGCAGCTTCTGGAAAGGGGCCAGCAAGACAGTGATGAGCTCTCAGCCCCAGGACACTCGCATAGTCATACTTGTGGCAGGCCTGCCTTTTCAACCAGTAAAATCCAGTTCAAAGCTGGCCTAGCTGTCTGTCTCCTCC